GGAAAGAGAAGGTCCCCCAACCACAGCTGGAGTCAGCAGTGTTTACTGAAAAAAAAATAAAGGTGGGGAGTTGAAGTGATCTTGGAACAACTTCTCTGTTGTAAACTAGTGAGGCATGGGGTACACAGCCTTAAGATCAGACTTCTTTTCCAAGTGCTGTGTTACTGTTTAAGGTTTTAGCATTTACTATTATGTTATTTAGAGGAGCAAATACAATAAAATTGATGACATGACAAACGTTATTGTATGAAATTGGAGTCTGCGCAAGAATAAGCCACCTCTGCTGATCAAGTTGGGGTTGACTGTTTTCCTGTTAACAGGTGAGCCTCCTCAACCCCGTCACAAGATGGATGACAGCCATACACTGGCACTTTGAAGTACACCTCCAAACGGCATTCACTGATACTTAAATGAATTTGGGAATTAGTAAGATATTTTTTTCATACTACATTCACTCACTGTATTTGGAGGATGTGATCCCCATAACAAACTTCAGATATCATATGGCTTCATGTAAGTTCATTTGCACTTATACGAAGAATGTTATGACTTAAAATCAAGGCTGTTTGTCTCAAAATATCACAGTAACGCTTGCTCTCTACTTGCCCTCTGCTTGCTCTATACTTGCTTTCATAAAAAAATCAAACCCCAAAATGCTATTCCTCTTAAGGATACATTCTTCTTTCTGTATTTGCTCTTGCTGCTCTTACTCACTAGTCCATGACATTCAAACTCCTATTTGTGCTATGGGATTTTAATGAAGGTCTGAATTCTTCATATGTTGCCATCAGCTGGGCTGGAGTGAGCCACAGCAAAGCTCCTCCAGATAACAGAGGAGTTGAATGTAATTTAAGGTGCCTGCAGCTCTTGTCCTCCTGTTAGCTCTTCCCTACTGAGTAGTATGGGAGAAACTCCTGGGAAAAGTTATTTGGGCTGAAAAGGAGCTTAAGCAGTGAAATTTTTTTTCTCTTTATTAGGAGGAAGAGAGCCCGAAAGAGCTGCACCAGCTGCCTGGGCAGGAGAAGAGAGCCAAGCAACCAGAATCCATTGCTGTGGCTTCTAATCCGTGGCGCAAAGTGGTAAAGGTGAGCGTGGGCTCTAGAGACCTTGTTGATCTGGATCTGAGAAAAGGCAGGAGTTGCTTTATCTTTGAGTCTCAGGTTTGGGTTTTTTTCTGCAGAAGACGATGCAGAGGGACTGAGGATTTATTTTTTTTTTTTGCCAGCGCCCCAGAAAGTATGGCTTGGTTCCAGAGATAGTCTGGTTGTTTTGCTTGGGTGAACATGAATGAAGAATGACTTAATTCTTGCATCTTAACAGGAGGAAGATGGTCTGCAGGAGCCCCAGCAGCAGCTTGGAGAGGAGAAAAAAATCAAGCCACCAGAAGCATTGACTGCTGCCTCCAGCATGTGGCTGAGCAAAACTGTGAAGGTGAGTCCTGGTTCCAGCAGACCCCTCAAATAAAATGAGTCTGTGGTGTCTTAAATTGCCTCCAAACCACAGGAGACAGCCTGCAGACTTATCCATCAGTGATGGAGCAGGAAACAAAATCCTGAAGTGCAGGCCGTTGGGATTGATCAGGGATCTGTGCAGAGGGTGGGGATGTCTGTCTCCTTGGGCGCCCGGCCGAGCGCTCAGCGGAGGGGGAGCCCGAAGGCAGGCGGTTTT